ATTGGGAATGGGCATGCACAAAGTATTCCGCAAGCGAACACAGGGCAACGTCACGCATAGCGTCGGGAGCTCGACCGCCCACGCAGCAAAGCACAGGAAGCGGGGCAGCAAAGTCAAGGGGGAAGAGAGGGCGAGCCCAGGACACTAGGAAGCCAGCAACTTTAGGGCAGCGCTGGTAGTGCAAGATGTCGTCTCGGCCGTCAGGGGCACCGAAGAGACATCCCTTGGGGTGAGCGTGAAACCTAGCCGACGTCCGCAACCGCCGACAAAGGATCCCTACAACCGCGACCACTTAAAATTATTGAAACCACATTACAAACACGTTTCATCCGAATTTGGAAGGCAGGAAACCAGACTGCAGGCGGGAGGGGGGGAGGGGGCCACTCCAGAACCCGACGGGGGACTTCGCCAAGGGCAACGCCAGGACGCTCATCATCACGAAGGGCCTTGAACATCTGGGCTTGCGTGACTGTCTCGGGGGCTTCAGGGCAGAGCATGCGGGCGCGGGGGGCTGCGCGGACGTACACCTCGTTCCTATAACTCAGAAACGAATTGGTAGACCACGCACGAAGAAGCCGATGTGGAATCATATCCCAAGAGACATCATGCGTCTGACGCAATTTATTCTGGAATTCCGTCCAAGCTGACGAGCTCTGAACAGTTCGATACACCGACGCGACAGCGATATGCCTAATGGAGGCACACTGAGTATTACATCCTGTGTCCGTCAAGTTAAGCATCATGGGACTGCCGAAGCTATAGCGCGGGCCCGCATGTAGGATTTGAAGGGCACGGTCTTTAGGCATGCATAATCTCGCAGCCGGACGATGAAATTGCAAGACGTAACTCAGCACAGTAACAGCACGAGCGCTGTAGGCAACGATCGACTCAGCCAGGCCGGCCCCCATGAGACGAATCTTGCATACGCGGAAGAAGTACTTGTCACACTGTGTCGGGAAGGAGTGCAAATGGGCCTCGGGGCCTACCGAAACACCAAGACAGCGACACCATCGAACAACAGAGAAGAGCTCGCAGCCACCCCCACTAGAGACCAGGAGCGCACGAATACGAGCCTCATCACCATATGCACCCATAAGAAGAATGCGTTTCCCGAAGTGCAGCTCCAGCCCGATAGCGTCAGCAAGTGAACAGAGCTTACGGACGACTGGGATCAAATCAGAGAAGAGGGTGGTCAACAGGAAGCGGAGGTCGTCGGCGTAGCCTGAAAGACAGAACCAGGTGGTCCTGTTGCAACAAACCACCGACAGACAGGATCCAGGGCCAGGGCAAGCAGAAGCATGGACGCGGGGCATCCTTGACGAACACTGCGGCCCACGGGGAAGCTGGCCAGGGAGATTCCACAGAAATGGACCCGAGCGAGGTTGCCCCGATAAAGGTTATCAAAATATTTAACCGCCCAATCAGGGATACCCATACTCTGCAGAACAAATAGTGCCCAGTCGATGATGAGGCTGGGAAGCGCAGCTTTGAAGTCCGTGAAGAGCTGGGTAGCATCGTCGCGGCCTTCAATGTGAGCCAGGAGACCATCACCCTCACAGGCAATAGTATTGTCCAGAATCGAACGGCCACGGACCCCGCTAGTGAGAGTGCTGACCTGGGTAAGCGGACTAGCGATAGCAGCGGTAATCAACTTGCGACCTGTACATCCCATAGACGGCGGACGGGTCGAAGACGGTTTCCGAGCGGGGGCTGCAGTGGCACCCGTAGGATGACCCCCCTTCGCCAAGAAGACCATCAACATCTCATGAAAGTCACCAGGGAGCGGGTCATGAGGATGGCAAACACAGTTCAGATAGAAATCGCACACAATCGCTTGAGCCCCAGGATGTTTCCAGCAGCCGCACGGTAGGCCGTCTCAATCCCAGGCATAAGAAGTCCCCGACTTCTTTACCAGGGACCCGAATGCACCGGCATCAAGGATCCATTCCTGATTCGGACAGAGGACGCCAGCACGCTGGATGTACTGGGAGAGGGTTGGCCAAAGAGAACGGTTGGGGGACTTGGCCGCGAAGACAGAACCCCAATGACGAGACAGCTCAGCACCAGCATGCTGCACCGACGTGCAAGGCGCCCCCGTGCTCTCAACCAATATATTGCCGAGGCAGGTTGACTTGTTCAGACTGCGCCAGCGTTCCCTATTGCGCTGCACGCGTGCGCGACGGCGTGCTACCTCGTGCTGCGGGAGTTCCCTCGCATTTAAGAGGGCCCCTTCCTCATCATCAAGCAACTGGTCGTTAAGAGATGCAGTGCGCGCATGCAACCTCTGAGGATCAACGAACGTACCAGCGTCAACATCAATGAAGTTGGAGAGCAATGGATAGGCACGCACTGCGCGCGCAACCAGATAGAAAGAGGAAGCACGAAACCCACGCAGGGCAGAGACACACCAATGCAGATACTCATGGACGGTCGTCGCCAGCCGAGCACGAAGGATTTTACGAAACTCAGCATGCGCCTCGTGCATAGCCACCTTGGTGCGAGCGAGCTGCTGCTGAATCGGGAGGCTCCGATCAATGTTTGCGATCAGCCCATCCAGACACCTCATGTACTCCTCCGTGGTAGGGGCCCAACCAGGAATCGGGGGAGGACCGTCAGCCGCCCGAGGCTTCGGGGCACTGGCGACCATAACAGGGACGTGGTCGGAAGGGTGCTTGAGGTTAGTGGGCATCCCAATAGCGGCGCCAGTCACGACAAGGTCCACGGGCACGGCAAGGGGGAATATCCACATAAACTCGATCCAGACGGGCCGTCGAAACAACCTTGGGACCCAGACAGGCGCGACGCGTATCAAGCGGTTGGTGAAGCTTCGTCCAGGAACCGAAAGCAACATTCCACTCACGAGTAAAGGCCGTGTCCCCCCGAGAGAAAGCCCCGTCATCTATGTTGAACCTCCCTTCACCACTGAAGACAAAATTGACGCCACCGAGCATGATGTGGGCGGCGGCAGCGGCAGGGGGAAGAGCAGACTGGATGCAAGAGAGACAATGACGATAGTAACCAATCCCAGCATCAACATTCGGCAGGTGCACAACCACAATCCCCCAGAGACCAGCTTCACCCCATCCGAGAACGTACGACGCCTTACCAGGATAGAGAGTCTGCTTGGTAGAACCACTGAGCTGAAAAGCTAGCTTATCATGCGCGCAGACGAGCATGCCATGGCCCTGCAGGTTATCTGGGTGAGGGTTGAAGAAAAACCTGTGAGACGTGAATTATTCCTTGCGAAGCGAGACCAAGTCACCCTCATGACCATGAGACTCCTGTGTACAGACGACGTGGTTGCGACGTAGGGGGGCAGCGAAAAGGCGCCAACGCGTACAAGACCTGGCTTTCATACTAGCCACACTTGCGAACAGGCCCCTGGCATTCCACGCGACGATCGATAACGGTTTCTTCGGTGGGAAGGGAATGTACAATGTCTCCCCACACTCCCTAAGAAAGCTTTTGGCCTCGACGAAACGGCCCTCGCACACGAGAGAAGCAACCTCCTGTGTCAGCCACCCAGCCTCCACGGAGGCACTAGACTCTGTAGAGACACTGCTAAAGACTCAACTGCTGCCGTACCTTTGCTACCATCTCCTCATGCTTACCCGCGAGGCCGATCTGCTCGACGTGACAAGCGAAGGCGATCACACGAGGCTGCTCAACGACTGTCAAGAGCTTCTGAACGCTGAACAACTTTAGTGCGTCACCTGTCGACCCATTAGCAATGAAGGCGAAGCCGTTGCCGACCGACGAGTCAACTTTCCACCCTTCGAGTTTCGGTACCGACTTCACTACCGACTCGACTCCCGTACGAATCTTCCCCATCACCGTAAGCTGCTTGTTCGCCCCCCCCTCCCTGAGAGGCTTGAGGCGCAGAAAGCGAGGGCCCTTGGGGGTGTTGTAGGAGTAGCCGACAGGGTAATTCTCACGAAAGGTCTCGATTGTCTCAGACGCAGCATCACCCGACGGGAAAGCCAGAATCACTTTCTTGGAGAAGTTCTGGGGGGTGACCTTCATCTGAGCCAGGACTTCAGCACTAGCACACGACGTGAGAATCTCCTGGCACGACTTCAGGAGGACGGCCCTCGTGAACTCATCAGCATAGCCAACAACAGTCGCTTTCGAGAGCATGTCCTGGTTACCGCTCCTGGAACGAACATTGAGACGGGCCTTCTTCGCCGAACTCTCTCTGCTGTCGTCGCTGCTGATGTCGAGGCTGCTGTTGCCGTTGACCGTCGCCGCCGCATGCATCGCTGCTAACGCTGCTTCGGTCTCCTCAACCTTTTGCTTCTGCAACATCAACACATCCGGCAAGCTCTTCAAAGTGACGGCAAGCTCGGAAACCTGCTGTGCCACCTTCGTGAACGACTCATTCATCAACCCCACTTGAGCAGTCAACTCCCTGATCGCAAGCTCTGTGGCGTTCGGCGCCATGGCACCGATGATCAGAGCACAGACTGAAAACGAACAAGTGATCCGATCAGGTCGGAGAGAGGGGGAAGCAGAGCAGGGCTGCTATGCCCAGGATTCGAGCAGTCCCCTCAGCAGCGACCAAGCTCGAAGCGCCAGGGCCGCACGTTTCGAACTTGAGTCAAAATGGCTACGGATGATGATGATGCTGATGGTGATGATGATGATGATGCTGATGGTGATGATGATGGTCGTGACGTCGATGATGGTGTGATGACGACGACGATGAGGATGATGTTGGTGATCAGTCTGATGATCATGCTGATGGTCATTGCGATGATGATGATGAGGATGATAATGATGATGATGATGATGATGATGATGATGCTGCTGCTGATGATGATGATGATGATGATGATGATGATGATGCTGATGAGGATGATTATGCTGGGAGGAGGGAGGGGGAGGAGGAAGGGAGGAACGCGCGGCGCTGTCTCTTCAAAACGAGGAACCAACACCAATGGGTGGGAAAAACACACACGGACAGAGATCCAAAGCGTAAAGCACATTCAGACCCGACTCACCGGCCGAGTCGGGTCCCACTGGTTCACCGAGGGCTTGCTCTCGGAGTTGCCCTCGGAGCTGCTCCCAGAGTCGTCCTCGGCCCCGATGACGTCGTCGTCGCCGCTGGAGTCCGCGGAGTCGTCGTCCGAACCCTCGATGACCGTGCTTCCCTGGGAGGCCTCCAGATCCGCGTCGGACCTGTCCGAGCCCTCGATGACCGTGCTGCCCGCCTGCGCAGCAACACGCGTCGAAGGACGGGCGACGGCCCGCGGCGAATTAAATTGCTCGCAGGGCAGCTGCTCGCAAGCCGAGCGGACACCCTCCGCCTCGAACGGCACGAGGCGGGCGAGAAGAGGAAGGAAGCACGGCAGAAGAATACACTTTCGGCGGTCCGCGTTCTATTCCTGGCCGGCTCGCTCGGAAGATCTGCACACGTCTGAAAGTCTGACGCGCCACTCACGCCGATCGCGACGTCACTCTCCAAGCACACAGCCTTACCCAATCATGCTAACACAACGCATTCAAAAACGAAGCACAAATGGATTCACTGACGTCGCGCACGATTCTTAGATCAAGGGGGTTCGCCTGAGACATCCTAGCAACATCGAGTCCCGACGTACAGCTCACACACAAAACATACCACATAACCATTACACATACACGCACAACCCACACAATACACAAGTGCCATAACACAGAACACAGAAAACACCCACTACACACACAACACACCCCGACAGATACTCTACAGAACATGTCACAAACTACGCACACGCAATACACACATACATAGTAGCCACACACATACACCACAGCACAGGCAACACACGCACAGACAACACACAATCCACACAACGAACATAACACAGCACAGAGGACACATAACTCACAAACATACAGCACACGCAGATACCACACACAAATATTACTGACCCAGGCCACACTCAAAACACGCACACACAACACGTACAAGACACGACCCTCACAACACCCAGCACACACACACGCACAAACACGCGCACACACATACGCACACACAGGCACACATACACACGTTAGCGCACACACAAATGCATGCAGAAACACACACACACACATGTCACACGCCACACACACACACACACGCACGCATGCACGCACGCGCACACACACAAACCCACACATCTTGAATTATTTGTTGAACGGGCCTGGGCAAGCGCGTGCCGCTTGTGTATTCTCTCTTCAATATTCTTACAATCTGGGGCGGTGGGGAAATCGGTCACGAACTCCAAGAGGCCCCAGACACCCACCAGACGCCCGAAGACGACCCAAAGAAAACACCCAAGAGGCCTGTGAGACGGAGGAAACATCGACTTCCCATGGGATTTGCCATGGGTTTCCCCGTGGGATTTCCTATGGGCTTACATTGGATTCGGATTTTTGAGCGTCCGAGACCGCCCGGAGGCCCAAACGTCGCCCCAAAACTGGCCGAAAGGGCATCCAGGCAGTCCAAGGGAGCCCCGAGACGGCCCAGTAGAACAGGGTCCCACGATGGCCCGAAGAGAGCCCCATGAATAGGGGGGCCACGTGCGAACCCCCTACACCTACCCCAACGATTTATGAGGGGAGGGGGAGGAGGAGGAGGAGGAGGAGGAGGAGGAGGAGGAGGAGGAGGAGGAGGAGGAGCAGGAGGAGGAGGAGGAGGATGGGGTTCACTTCGCTTGGGAGCTCCCGAACGAAGTGAACCCCACCCTACCCCTCAGAAATCGTGGGGGGTACGGGTAGGGGTAGGGTTCGCACGTGGCCCCTTTTTCACGGCCCAAGGTGGCCCCAACATGCCCCCAGAAGCATCGTGGTCCGGCCGTTCAGGGATGCTGCGGTTGGACGTAGGGTGACCTGGGGAAGCCCCTGGAGGCCCCCAGAGGCGCCCAGAAAACCTCCGGCAGGCCCCAAGAAGCTCTTAAAAACTTGTGTAAGGCCTCCAAAGGACTCTCCAAGGAGGAGCCTCCGCAAAAAGAGCTGAGAAGGATAAGGATAGTTCGCAGGGTAGGGCGAAAAAGAGGAAGAGGAAGAGGAAACATGTTGGAATGACACTGAATAGCATGTTCATATCGACGAAGTTGGAAAAAAGGCAACAAAGAATTATCGCTGAACCCTACCAGCCCCCTGAGCGTGAGTGGTTTAGGGCGTGTTGTCGTCTATCTTCCCTTCTTCCAATCGGGGAGCAGTTCATCACTATTCCCTGCGAATAAGATAACAGCCCCTCCCCCATGCGACAAGCAGCCAACCAGGACCCATGAGGGCCCCCCCACCATCCCTTTCAGAAAAAATGTGAAGTCCACCGTGGGGCAAAATCCTGGGTCATGATCAGGGGGGCCGGGAACACTTTGTATTGTTTTTGACAGGGACGGCGGGGGTGCCCGCACATCGCCTGCTGCGCGCAAGGCCCGCACCCCTGTCAATCGACAATATAACATGCATTTCGAGGCAAAATCTGGATCATGCGCGGGCACCCCTTGATCACTGTGCATATTTTGTTGCCGGGGACGGAGGGGGGGCTGCCATACTACCTGCTATACGCATGCCAACCAGGCGCTATGATTGTCACCCCGCCGAAATGCGCACCATTCTTTGACAAGGGTGACGAGGGCCAACACGTTTCCCGATGTGTATTGCCACGTGCGCGGGCGCACCTGGCACACTCTGCGCGTGCCCCGAACGTGGCGCATCTGGCGCGGCTGGAGAATGCGGCACACATGGTTACGTTGCGCACCTGGCGCAACAGGAGTGCCCGGCACGCTTGGGCCACAGAGGTGCCTGGCGCACCTGACGCACCTCGCCCCCTCGCAGCGGCTCGGGTGCTACTCCTGTGTTGGGAGGGCGGGTGGCAGTGAGCGAGACGGCTTGCGGGCGGGGAGGGCGTCTTGATGCCTCCCCATACCCCCTCCCCCTGGACCTGGACGGGGCGCCCCGCGACCGAGCGGAGCGTCCAAGATGGCCCTATGGCTCCAAGAGGGCCTCAGAGAGCCCAAGATGGCCTCCAAGACGGCTCAAGATGGCTCAAGATTGCTTAAGATGGCTTCCAAGATGCTCTTAGAGGCTGCAAGACCGCCTCAAGACGGCTCCAAGTGGCCTCTGAACACTCCCAAGAGAGCCCCCCTAGAGGCCAAAATCCATCCCAAACCGAAGGAACATCAATGTGTTTTACGTTCTCGCCTTTTCGCTCCCGATGACCTTCCAACGACTCAAGATGGCTCCAAGATGGCCCAAGAGCGCACCAAGAGAGGCCCAAGAGGGCCCCAATGCGGCCCCAAGAGCGCCCAAGAGCGTTCCCAGAGCTTTCCAGGAGGGCCCCAAGAGGCGATTCGAGAGACTCTGGAGGGGCGCCGCTTAATTAAGGACCCCCCTTCTTTGACCGATGTCCTACAAGATGGCCTCAACAGGGCCTCCATGGCGCCCAAGAGAGCCCGAAGCGGCCCGCAAGAGACCCCGACGAGTTTCCTAAACGGCTCCAAGGGGCACCCCTCAACGGCACCCAAGACGCCCCAAGGGGCCCCCGAGACCGCCAGGAGGCATCCAAGAAGGCCTACGAGACCTCCAAGGAAGCCCCCTGGCAGCCAAGAGGCCTCTGGCCTTCTGCTCTCCCTCCTCCTCTGCCTCCTGCTTTTCATCTGCCTATTCCTTCTCCTTTGATCTCCTCCTCCCCCTCCATTTATTCCTCCATCTCCCTCCTCATTCGACAGATAACGGCTGCCCTCTATCTTGCTCCTTCACTTCCCTGGTCACCCGAACTCTCCTTGGCGGCGTTTCTGGATGGGCTGGTGGGGATAGGCGAAGCGGCAACAATTTCGAGCTTATCTTCCTTCCCTTCCACCTGCATGCAATACGTCAAGGACCAAGTTGAATGGCGCAAAACGCCAATGCGGTTTTGTGATTCTATGTATATATACATATATGTCAATGTGTACGTGAACATATGTATATACAATATATATATATATATATGCCGAACCTTCGGGCACTGCCAGGGGCATCGACGACTCCCCCGCGGCCCCCCATCGCGCGTCAATGCGCAAGCACCCTCCCCACGCGATCGTCTCCCAAAGTCGCGAGTCTTTCGTATCGTGGCGACCCGAAGCCCTCGGAGCCCGGCCAAGGGCCCTCCGAAGCAAACCATTGCCCCAAAACTTCCGTCGTGCTTGTCTCACGACGCGAGGGGGCCTGGGGCCCCTCGCGATCGCCCTCCATCCTTCTCTTGCCACCGGTGGCCTTGCCAAACATGCTGGCGTGGGCGGTCATGCTGGCGTGGCCGTCCTCGGCCAGCATGTCGTCGATGTCGAAGAAGGCGTGACCGTACATGCTGGCGTGGGCAAGCGCGTTGGCGCGGAACGCGGCCTCGGACGTGTAAGATGCCTCCGCCGCGGCGAGCGCGTTGGCGCGAACCTTGGCCTCGGACGTGTAGGCCAAGTCCGCCGCGGTCTCCATCGAGGCCTCCATCTCCTAGGGGAGCCCGAAGGTACCGATACCGCTACTCCCGGGACCTCTCCTGGGGTGCGTTCTGACCAAAATTTCGAGGCGAATCCAGCGGTGGCGACGAGGGCCTCCCAGGAGGCCGAAAACGGAGGAAAACGGGCGAAGGGTGGCGGTACAGGGCACCTCTTCCTCCCCGGATCTCCAGCTCCAGCGCCAGGTCCATCTCGGCCCTCGAGGAGCGCTCGGCCCTCGAGGAGCGCTCGGCCCTCGAGGAGCGCTCCGCCCTCGAGGCCCTCGCGACCTCCGCCCTCGCGCCCTCTGCCCTCGAGACCCTGGAGGCCTCGAGCCTGGCGCTCGAGGCGCCCGCCCTGAAGTTATGGATGGCGCGGGAAGATACCTTTGGATCGGGCATGTCCCCCTACAGGCAGATGTTGGAGGAAACATTGAAATTAGCATTCACAAATGTCCGCAAATAGTCAAACAAATCGTACACATCTTATTTCTTGACAATGCTTGAATGTTCCTCCTGTGGAGGAACAGTCCCGACTGAAACATAGACCTGGAGGACACAACAAAACTGCATCAACCTTACCTTTCGTCGAGCGATCCCCACCCGAGAACCCGAGGCGGCATGCCCAGGGATGCCTGGCACACGCTGGGCCTGGCGGCCGTGGGTTATGCCAAGCGTGCGAGGCGGGCCGGGAGCCCTTCTCGGAATGAAGATCCGAGAGCCCCAGCCTGCCGGGGGGGGAACAAACTTCCGGAGCTCCGCGAGGGCTTCTTCTTTCATGCATCGGCGCTGCCACCCCCGGCGGCTCCTCCACCGCTGGCTCTGGCGCCTTCCGCGCGTCAGGAAGGGGGGTCCAGCACCGATCCAAGACATCCTGGCGAAACTCCGAAAATTTGCGCGTATGCGTTTCTTGTTCCTCGGATACCGGAAGATCTCCCAGCAGAGTCGCGGCGAGCACGGCTTTCATCATGGCTGCCAGGATGCAGGAGTGTGTTAGGGTGGCAGACTCGTGTCTCAACGGCTTCTGCGTTGGTCACTGACACCGCGTGGATTGCAGGCGAGCGCAGGATCGAATGGATAAGTCGTATCGGCGATCGAGATGAATCGGATCGGCGGAAATCGGCAGCCGAGTCGGGAGAAGTCGAATCGGCGGAAATCGGCAGGCTAGTGGGCCTCCACTGAGACATCGGAATCCGAATGGGAATCCGAAGTCGAATCGAAACGGCATCCATCGAAATCGAATTAGATCGAATCGAAAGAATCGAAACGAGCCCTGGGATTGTTCGACCTTGCAGGCTCGGGGCTTTCCGATGGCGCAGACCGTCCCACGCCGGCCGACAGTGGGCCGATGGTGGCGTTCCACCCCGAACGCCCGCGCTGGGGTCGCCGCCGCGCCAGCAGGACACGGGCCTACCGTCTGTAGTGGCAAGGCAGGGGGGGTGCAAGACTGCGGGACGCGGATCCTGCTAGGAACGCCTGCAGGAACAGTCCCCCGACCAGCTAGGACGTCTACATCTGCGTTCCGCCCCCCCCCCCCCCCCACCCCACCCCCCCCAGGCACGAAGGGAGACCGTCTTCGTGCCACCGCGCTGCATTCTGGAGAGGGGGCAACCCTCCGGCTCAGACCGCGAAGCCCGCTTGTTTCTGGTCCCTTTCTGGGTGGCCGGCGCGCGGGCAGGGGGAATTTTCTTGGAGAAGAGCCCAAGCCAAGCCGTATAGGATTCAGCACGCCAGGCATGCGCAGATACATGCACCAGAAATTGCTGGCTTCCCAGATACATGCACCAGAACTGCACGCCAATGCATGCGCATGTGGTCACAAC